TTGTTAGATAGCCCCGATTTGACAATTATCATCATATCATCGTTGTTTGATCACAGTTGTTGAACCTCCATCAACACTAGACTAACAACAACAAACCCCTTATGATTGAATGCCTTTATTAAATTGCTGCCACGTGACCAACATCATTGGATCACCACAATCTAATCATCTCTATCACCAGATTACCACCATTGGCCTTCGCTACCTCAAGGCTGTTCTTGGGTCACTGCCCCCAACTAATACTAATGGATCTTTGTCAGTCAATCAAAATCATTTGAATGCCTTTCACCCCATATACACTATAATTTTTTCTATTAACACTACGGGAAAACCCGTCATTATCGGCGGATAATATCCACCGCTCATACAAGATTTCCGTCGGAATTATAGGTTTACGACGCACTTTCCGGCGGAATTCCATGCGCCGGTTTGGAGCGCGTCGATAAAAGTCTTCCGGCGCATAATATGCACCGGAAACCTTTCCAGCGCACTTTCTGACGCATTACCGGCGCAAAAAATGATGGCAGTCGTCGACATTTCGACCGCTGAATCCGGCGCCATATGCGCCGGTAATTTGTGTCATATGCATGCGTCGGTAATTTGTGTCCTATGCATGCGCTGGTAATTACCGGCGAATAAAACGCTGTTTATACGCCGTAAATAACCTGTGGGATGTTTACGGCGCAAAATATGCGTCGGAAATCTCCGGCGGAGACGACGCCGGAACGTACTCAACTTAATTTTTTACTTCTCTTTTAATGGCCAACATTATGTGACATAAAGCATTGCAGGTCTCACCATCATTTATAGAATTTTCTCTTAAGTTTGAGTGGTCATTTTCTATCACACAACAGGTTTGATGTATTCCTCCACTTTAACCAACCAACTTGAATTCTACTAATAACATGTTTTCTTATTAATGACTTGATCGCCCAAAGCACTTCTCCATAGCATATGTAAATGCTTTCTTTTCTAAAATTAACTCTCCATAGCACTTCTCTTTGAACTTTATAATATGTTTTTTTTCTAATTCAATAAGTATCATATGTAAATCCTTCTTATTCACTCTATATTTCACCATGGATAAAGAAAAAAAGATATGGGCTATGATCCTTGATGTAATCTAACTGAAATAGAAAATATTTGGTCAAAGCATGCACATGCATGCAATGTGTTTAAACACAACATATGTAGATCCTCCTTACTCTCTCTATAAGTGTCCATAATAGACACTTATTCTCAAAAAATGTATAGCTTCCATAATAGACACTTATTCTCAATATGATTAAGCAATCCAAAGGCTAGTACTACCTTCCCACTACCTAAATCAACACTTGGAGATATCAAGACCATCTATCTTGGAAATGTATGGTAAGAACATCCATGGCTAAAGCAAAAAGCATACAATAGGGTACATCCTCTTGCAAATGTATGGTAAGAACATCCATGGCTAAAGCAAAAAAGAAATTCATGGCTAAAGCAAAAAAGATATGTTCTTAAACCTAATCTATGTAATCCAACTGAAATAAGAAAAAATTTCGTCAAAAGAAACGAAAAAAACAAAACCTTCCGTCGGCGAAGATGAACGACCGTCGGCGGTGAAGCGACCACAAAAGCTATGAGACTCGTCGGCAAACTCCTCTGACCGTCAGCGACGGCGATCTACGGGCGAGGTGAGAGAACGGAAGGAAAGAAGTGACGGGCCAGAGGGGCTCGGTTTCGGAAAATAGGGCTTTCGGCGGCGGATTTTCGCCTGCAGAATCATGGCCCCCGTTTCAGTGTCGGCAAGCTGTTTGATATTTGGCCTCACCGAATTCAATTAATGCTTTCTTCACCAGGTGAAATGTTACTAATCTAAAGAGTCCTTTGATATCATTTTTACTTTTATTTTGATTATATTTTAATATTAAATAAAATATAATTAGTGTTTTAAAAATATATTATTTTCATTTTTTACTGAATATTGAATAAAGTATATTTAAGTTATGGTTTTAAAAATGCTCAAAATACCTCATAATAATTTTAAAAATAGTTGTTATAAGAAATATGATATATTTATAATGTTTGTAATTATTTAAATGAATATAAAATAAATAGATAAGATTATTATTTTTTTTATTTCATTTGAACTAAATCGAATGAAATGTAAAATTCAATGATGATACTAGTTTTTTTTTCAAAAGAAAAATTCCAATTGATTAGAAGTGCATTACACCACTAGATCATATTATGGCCACAAATAGAAGATTACAATTAGAGAAACAATAGTCAACTTGTCCAACATCAAAGTGACCAAGAAAAAATTGAAAAACACCACAAAAACAAATGGACTCATATCATGACCTGGTTGTCAGAGAAGAGCCATCCAAGGAGGTAATTAAGTAAACAGCCAAAATATCAAAGCGACAGAAAACCAAACCAGTCAAACTAACAAGTAAGAATCACCGATGTTGCCATCAAAACCCTAGCCATATGAGGTGCTTGCAGAATAACTGCTTCATCATAGTCCTATCTCGTTCCATCGTCGTAAGAAACAAACAATAGCAAAAGTAATCGAAAAACTACCACCACCAAACATCCAAAAAGAACAAATCATTTCTTTTTGGATTTACTATTTCTATGCTTAGCAATGTTTTTGAAAAACCCAACATTCTCAATTTGATGAAAGCTTAACTCAAATTGTCCTGATCACAATTAGAAAATTGCTCCTCTCCTGCAGAAGAATTGTTATCATGTAACCAGTCAACTTGCCTCGCAACGTCATTCCTCACCAGGTGAACTAATATATCAATATTGGAAATAACAGTTATAGGGACATCAACCAGCAAAGCTTCACCACACATAGAATGTAAAGATGTCGAATGATCACCCGACACCTCCACAACATCAACACAAGTAGGACTAGCTATGAGGTTAATGCAACAATTATTATCATTCAAGGAACCATTAGCACCATCAAAACTAATCTATCTTAGAACAATCAATAGGTAAAGGCGCCACATCCTCCCCAACCGAAATGTCATTATCCTGTCCGACAATAGCATCAATATGACCCAGGATCAACTCCAAATCCTTGGCAATAGAGGAATCAACATTTATCAAAGCCAGATTCAAAACATTGACTCCATTATCTGAAATAATAATGCCCTCGGTGGCCTATACCCCTGGTTCAAATGATTCATTCACGACTAAAGGAACCCCATCAGCAACTTCCCCACACCCAAGCTTAGCAACCCAAATAGCCTCCCCCCTCGAAACATCAACAGACCCGCAAGGAGGAACCCCAACAACAACATTAACATGAATAGAACCATTCAACAAAGTAGAAAATTCATTATCAATTAACTTAACAGGAAACGAAGGTCTAACATCGACATTTAACGGGACAACAGCTATAATCTAGGTCATTCGTAAGTTTAATCAAGATATGCGTTGAATCGACCAGAGTAATAAAAAAATCGGCATTGAGCTTCAGGTTCAAAAAAAAATCTATGGATGGAGTCCAGGCTAGGCCACCGGGCCGGAAAAAAGCCAAGAAGGGAAAACTAGAACGGAGCTGCAAGTGACAGAATCTCTTCCTCAGAGATCCACAAAAAGGGTATACCGAGGAAGGAAGAAGATTTAAGCTCCGAAAAACAAACATTAGAGGGAGAACCATATAAAGCTTCGACGAAAGAGCACGAATAGTTGGATCCAAACAAAAAACCAGGATCAAACAGATGCTTTGGCGCCATTCCAGTCACTAACGATCGGAAAAAAAATGAAACAACTACAAAAAAATGATCCAAAACCGCAAAAGAAAGGAAAGAAAAACTTCCCTGAACACGCAGCGGCGGCAGACGCCGCTGGGGGGACGCAAGAGAGAGCGGGAGCAAGCCCTAAATCTCGAGAGCGAGAGAAGCCGTAAGAGCGAGCATAATAGCTAATAGACAATAAGAGCTATGATTAATGACAATAGTCATAGTAGTAAACCATGATGGGAGTAACCATCAGCCATAATGAGGTGAAATTATTCTGTACGGATACGAACATAGTCCGGAGGCAAATCAGAACACGCCACATCACCTGTTTGTTGTGTACCGCAACTAGGGGTGCAAACAAGTCGAGTCGAGTTTAAGCCTTATCACCTCGGCTCATCAGTATGAAAGCTAGCTACAACTCGAACTCGAGTCGAGCTCGATAGACGTGCTCGAACTCGAGCTCGTCCGACTGTAAATGAGCTCGAGCCAACTCGCAAGCTATGGACAATATTTTTTTAACATAGACAAGATATAAAAAAAATGCAATGTTCAACATTTAAATAAAACTTAGAGGATCTTTATTATTTTTTTAATGTTTAAATTTAATTAATAAAATAAAATTATTTAAAAATATAAATAATTATTCGAGCCGACTCACGAGCTCACGAGTCGAGCCAGTTTAAGCTCGAACTCGAGCTCGTTTACTAAATGAGCACAAATTTGAGCTTGAGCTCGACTCGTGAGCTTGATAAGCTCGGCTCATGAGCCCATAAACGAGTCGAGCTCAAGCAGGCTCGCGAGACTTACACCCCTAATCGCGACTGTGTACTGAATGACGTGGGGCTTTCTGATTTGCCTCCAAACAGTCAGATGTCTGCACATAATAATTTCTCATAATGAGAGACCGAAGGGGGTACAAAGGCTACGATGGGTAATCAAACGAGGCTTATGGTGGCTTGTGATAGCCAATGACAAGAGTGATATTAGCTTATGTTGTGTTTAAAATTTTGCCGAAAAATAAATGAATTTTGAATACATAAAAAAATGAATTATGAATTAAATTTTGAATTTCACAAAATTTTATTTTGCATTGCATAATTAGCAAATCAACAACAAATTTTAAACCTTCTATATTTAAAAAAATTATTTTTCATCAACCAAATAACTCCTTAATGAAACACATAACCCATATATAATTATGTAGTCTACAATCCACATACGAGCTACGCGTTATAATTTCAAAAGCAATATAATTGAATGTAGTTGCAAATCAATATCCATTATAATATATATTTATATAAATAATACACCTTAAAAATAATTTATGCACATCACAAGCATTCCGAATACACAAACCAGAACCCTAACCCTAGAACAGCAGATTGGGGAAGATTTGGCAATAGAATAACGAAATTACAAAGAAAAACAAAAAATCCCCAATCCATTTTCTTCAAGAACATCTCAAAGATGAAAGCCCTAAATCGTCGAAACATTGAAAAACGAAATCGATACAGAATCAGAAACATATGTATAAGTATTAAATCAAATCACAATCCAACCTGTTTGGTAGTTCATTAAGATTTCCGCGAAGGTCCACCTGATTCTCCAATGGCTGCGTACCAGCCTCCCGGCCCCACTGCCTCCTCATCGAGGAAGTGATCATCGGTCCTCCGAAACAGTGCGTGAAGCAAAACAACCACCACTGCAATCAGCAACGAGATCAGAATATTTGCAGTAGCGTCGGTGAGCAGCAGAAGAACGAGAGTCAATACAGAGAGAGCGATGAGAATATATAGGTCATTGATAGTGCGTCCAAGAACGGTAATAGGTTCGTCGCGTAGGAAATAGAGGAAAAGCCAGGCAACCATCGCGACAACGAAGGCGATCAGTGAGATCGGGTGCCAGAGGAGGCTGAGGAAGACGATGAGGAGGACGACGATGGCATAGTTCATGGCAAAGTACCCGGCGTTGGTTCTGATACGGAGGTAGGAATCACCCAGGCTCAGCGGAAGGGAGAAGGCGTGAAAATGGACCATCTCCCGCCATGACCGCAGAGTCGCGAGAGCCGATCGGCCGCGGGCTTTGGCGCGGGAGATGAAATCCAGCGGCGAGGATTCGCCGGAAGCAGTCGGGATTGTGCCATAGGTCGCCATCTTGATCTGAACTGGGATTTTCCCCGCGAGGGGTTTTGGAGAAGTCGGAAGGGTTGAATTGCGAAACTTATGGGAGAAGAAGGATCCTTCAATAATATATGAGGTTTGATTTTTCAAAGATAGTAATCATGATTAGTTAATTAGGGAGAGAGGAGAGGGTTTCTTGAAAAGAATTTTTTCTTCTCCTCTTAATTTGTGGATCTTTCTATTGATTTCACTCTGCTTAAATCGGCTATGGACCAGGGCTCTTCATTTGCGGGAGAGAATTTATTATGTGCGGACGTTGAACGTCATATTGAGACCAATCAGAATGAGCCATGTCGGTATTGCAGCTCGGTACTGCTCGGTATCTCGGCTCGGTACTGTTGACGTGGCTCATTTTCGTTGGTCTTCGGATGTAGAGCTGCGTTCGGCGTCTACACAAAATAATCTCTTCATTCGGAAAGGCTTCATCTGACATGAAAGATTGGAAAGGGTTATTGACTGCTCGTTAATACACATCCAAACAATTTTTTTGTCTTTTGTTCCATCTTCAGATAATCTTGCTCGTTTTACTGAAGATTATGCTTCGACTGCCTTTGAAAAATGGAGCATAACATTGGTTGGTTATTCCCTACATCCTAGATAAGAGACCTTATTTTGAAGCCTTTTGATCTGTTATGCTTAAAACCTGAAAATTGAAAGGTACTCTTACTCTTCTTTCGTTAAGGGAAGGTTTTTTCTTGCTTAAATTTTCCTATTATGAAGACTATGATTTAGTTTGGATTGGAGGACCTTGATTCTTTTTTGATAAACCTTTTATTATTCAGCATTGTTCTCCCTTATTTTGACCAAAATGAGAGGAATTTGTTTATATTCCTCTATGGATTAAGATCCTAGACCTTCCTTTAGTATGTTAAATGCCTTAGGGTATTTTGAAGATTGCGAGTCTGGTTGGGATTCCTATTGTTGTAGATTCCCTAGCAACTGAGCAAACTAGACTTACTTTTGCTCGGGATTGTGTTTTGATTAACGAAGATTATTCTCTTCCAAAAGAAGTTAAGTTTTCATATCCCAGTAATATTATTCATCGAAGGTTGTTTATGATTGGAAGCTAATGTCGTGTTTAGGACGAGGTTCAATTGTTCATCCTTCTTTGTGTCCTAATAAGCCTCATATTTCTCAGTATAAAGTTTCAAAAGAACCTAGTAGGGGAATTGAAGGAGTAGAAGTAGAAGGGTTTGGAGGACTGCTTCTAAACCTTCTCGACCTTCTCAACCTTCTCAACCTTCTCGTCCTCTAGACTCTTTTCAAGAAATATTGCATTCTAAATCTATTCTTTTGTGGACTTCTGTTGTTTTCCCTAATTTAATTGCTATAAAGAATGTAGAAGTTTTGTCTTCAGGTGTTAAATATGATATACCTAATTTAAATTCTCATAAAGAAGATCTTCCTTCTAATTCTTTAGATAATTATTCAAATGTGGTGACTGCTTCTAAATTATTTCTTGTCTAAGCTCTTCAGTTAAGGATTCTAATATCCATAACAAGTTTTAGGTTTTACAATCAATGGATGCTTCCTTTAAGGAGCAATAGGAAGGCGAATGATTAATTTTTTTACGTACTAAGGATAATGCCTCTTTTCAAGACCTTACAACTGTGCAACCTATTATTATGGTGCCTCTAGCTTCTGGTAAGTCTACAAGATCCAAAATTGCTAAAAGGAAATTATTTCTAATATTAAGCCTTAATTTTTTTTCCCAATATTGCATCTTGAAATGTTAGCGTCTTCAATAATATGGATAAAATTAATGCTTGTAAATATCTTGTTAAAAAATATAAAGTGGATTTTATTTATATTCTTGAAGCTAATACCATGTTGGATCAGATTGATGATCCTTGGTTTGCTTCTAGACATAGAATTTTCAGCAGGAAGATAGTTTCAATAATTTTAATTTTTTTAATATTGGTAGAGTTTAGTTAAAATGGAATGCATATTGTGTTTCTTTCACTAATATTCTCTCAAGTAGTTAATTTATTCATAACTCGTTAAGGTTTGGCTCTTCTCCTATTTTTAATACTGCTATCTATGCTTTTAATTTGGTTGTTGAATGGTTTACCTTATGACAGAATAATCTTAGTTGGGCTTGTAACATTCCTTCTCCTTAGATTTTATTAGGTGATTTTAATAGCTGCACGTTTGTGAATGAAAAAAATATGGTGGTAATTTTATCCCTAGTGGTAAGCTGTGGGAGTTAATCTTGTTTTCAATATTGGTATTCATGAACTTATTTCTATTGGGCATTTTTTAAACTTGGTTTAATAAAAAAAAGTTATTGTCCTATTCATATTAAGTTGGATAGGGTTTTGGTTAATAGCTTTTGGTTGGATCTTTTTCTTTCTTCCAATTATTTATTGGAAAATTCTAATTGTTCTGATCATTCTCTTCTTATTATTTGTAATAAAGGTTTGGCTAATAATAATCAAAGATTCCTTTTTAAAAATTTATGGTCAAAGAGGTCTGAATTTTGGGATTTGCTTATTTATATTTTTACTTCTTATGATGTTGGAAATCCTATTAATGATCTTTATTCTATGTTGCATAATCTTAAAGGTATCATAAATAAATAGCTCTGTGAATCTTCTAAGCATGTTTCTATTACTATTGAGGCTCTCCAAAAGCAGCATGGTATTTTGTTAAATCAAATACAAAGGATTCCTTTGGATCAGAACCTTAATATGGATTTAAAAGAGGTTATATTCTTAATTATAATGTCTTTATGGTCCTCTTGGATTATTCAAAGGGCTAAAGCTAAATAGTTTTCTTATGGTGAAGATGATTTGGGCGTTCTTTACTCTAAAATTTGTTGCAAGCAAAATAGAATAATGATTCAAGAAATCTTCACTTATGAGGGGATTGTTTTAGATCCTAGAGGTATTTTTAAAGCTTTTGTGCAACATTTTAAGAAATTATAATTCTCCTTAATCGACTTTAGCTTCTTTCAATGCTATTTTGGTTGGTAAGACTACTGTTGATGTTCTTCCTCCTTCTCTTATTACTCCTATTACTTTAGATGAGTTAAGAAGGTGATTTTCTCTAGCCCTTCTTCTTCTTCACGTGGTCCTTATGATTTTACTTTTGTACTCTTTAAGAATTCTTGGGATATTATGGGACGTTCTTTTAATTTCTAAAGTTGTTTTGCATTATTTTAATATTGATTTTGAGCCCAGGGCTGCTAAAGCCATTGTTATAGCTCTTATTCCTAAAAATTTTAATGCCTCTAAAATTTCTAATTTTAGGCTTAATATTTTTTATAAAATTGTGAAAAAAAATTGGGCTAATAGGATAGTGGGTGTTATGCCTTTTATCATTCATTCTAATCAAGTTTGTTTTATTAAAAAGAGGGTTTCTACAATTAATATTTTATTTGCTTATGAACTTTTAAGAGATTTTAATTATATGGCTAAAGACAAGTTTTTTATGCTAAATTGAATATTCATAAGGCTTTTATACTATCTCTAAAGATTTTGTATACTTTTGGATGACCTAGAATGGTTTTCCTAATATTTTAATTTTATGGATCAAAGGATGTATTGAATATATCTTTATCTCGATTGTGCTTAATAGTTCTTTAAATAGTTTTTTTAGCTCTTCTTCGCATTTTCTTCAAGATTGTCTTTGTTCACCTATTTTTTTTGCATTGTTATGGATGCTTTACTATGTTGTTTGATGATAAATTTAATAATGTAAATTTTAGGGGGTTAATGCTAGTGAGATTTCTATATCTCATCTTCTTTATGATGATGATGCTATGGTTTTTTGGGAAAGCTTGATCTATTTTGAATGCAAAAAAGTTAAGGGAGATTTTTTATTACTTTTCTAGTTCTTCTGGCCTATTTATTAATAAGAACAACAGTACAATTATTTTCTCAAAATACTTTGGTATTTGGGAATGCTTATATCCTATAAAGGCTTACTTCTTCTAATTTTCATCATTTCTTAGTCATATTGCTAAGCTTCTTGCTGGTTTTAAAGTGAAGGTTCTTTCTTTAGTAGGAAGAACTCAATTTTTAAAATTTACTATTTGTAACATTATTTCTTATTGGATTAAGGGGGCCTTCTTTTCCAAAGTTCTGCTTTAAAATTTTAAAGAAAAATTATTCTAATTTTTTGTTCTTTGGGGATTCTTCTCTTAGGAAAATTCACATTATTGCTTGGAAAGAGGTTTGTAAGCCTAAGAATATTGGGGGGCCTTGATATTTCTGATCTTAGTGCTCTATGTTTTGCTTTCAGTTATTCTCTTATTTGGCTTATTTTAAACGATATTTATCTTTTGGCTAGCTGGATTAAGTACAAGCATATTTCTTTTTAGAAGCCCTTTTCATAAAAAGACTCTTTGTTTTTTAGGAATACATGTTCAATTGCTAGAATATTGAAAGCAAGGTTCTTTTGATATTTCTACTAATAGTTATCTTTCTCTTTATTGACATCTTTGCATGGGGGAAGAGTTCTTCATGAACTGATTGGTTTCATTCTTGATTTTTATTTTAATAAGGGCATTGCTGGGGATTGGATTATATCTAGTTGCTGGTACTTTCCAGATTATCTCTCTACTAATTTTGTTTAGAATGTTTTTGCTATTCCCATATTAAATCAGAATATTTCTAACATGTCTTGGGGTGCGGTGTCTCTTTCTTCATTTAATATGTTTCATGCTACCTTCTATGATGGTTTAAAAAAGGTGGAATGGTGCTCCTTTATTTGGCACAAGAGGTATGCTATGAGATTTTCTTGTTTTCCTTGGATAATTATATTGGAAGGTTTAAAAATTGTTGATATTCTTGCTAAGTGGAATTTGAATGTTCATCTTACTTGTATTCTTTGTAATAATGCTAAGGAAAATCATAATCATTTTTTCTTTTTCAATGTGATTTATCTTTTTGCATTATTTCTAATTTAGTGTCTGATTTGACTTATTTTATGCTTGGACCTACTTTTATTCAAGTGTTTGATTTTATTCTGACCTCTAATCTGGATAAGAATTCTAAAAATTTGTTTTACCTAATTAATTATTGTTCTATATATTTTCTATAGAGATAAATGAATAATAGGATGTTTGCAAGTAAGCATT